CGCGCCCCGCCGGCAGGTAGCCGGCTGCAGCCCCGGCCCTGCCCGCGCTGCCTTTATGCCTCTTATTTTCCTCCTCCGCCTGTTATAACTTAGAGGGAAACTTTCTTTCATTTTTTTTGTTCCTTTCTTCCTCCTCTTTTCTTTTTTTCTCTCTTTTTTCTTTTTTTTTTTGCATGCGTCTCCTGGGGTCGTGGGTCCTGCTGCTCGCTCTCCCTCCCTCCCCAGCCCTCCTCCGTAGCCGTGAAAATGCCGCTTTCCCAGCACGAGCTGTGAGTGTTTTGTTGTGGTTCCGTGCAGAACGACTGAGGATAAAGTTTAAATGCGTGTGTGTGTGTGTGACGTGGGTTATGTGCTTTATTAAGAGATGCCTCGAGTTAGCGTTGCTGAGAAGACAACCTAGGAGTTTATGCTTTTCTCTTTTTTTTCTTTCCTCCTTTTCTTGTCTTAATTTTATTAAAGCTCTTAGTGGGAGAAACAAAGGTTGGAGGGGCTGCTGCTTTACTAGCTTTTGTTTACTTACAATCAAGTTTTTCCTGTTCGGAGCAGGTGCGAAAAGATGAGAAGCATGTTGTGTTTTTTGTTGGGTGTTTTTTTTTTTTCCCCCTTCCCCCCCCTCCTTTAATAAAACTATTACAGACAATTAACAGTAAACGTTATCTCCAAGGCTGTTTCTTTGGCTTGTGTTACCAAAAAGCTGATCTGTTTGTTACAGCTGCTAGGAGGCTTTAGTTTACAGTAGCATTCAAGTTTTTCCTGTTTTGAACAGGTTATGAAGGAAGAATGGAGTTTCCAGACCATAGCCGCCAGTTGCTGCAGTGTCTGAGTCAGCAGCGTCACCAGGGCTTCCTGTGTGACTGTACTGTTTTAGTTGGAGAAGCTCAATTCAGAGCTCACAGAGCCGTTCTTGCCTCTTGCAGTATGTACTTCCATCTTTTCTACAGGGACCAGTTAGACAAAAGGGATATTGTGCATCTGAACAGTGACATTGTCACAGCCCCTGCCTTCAGCCTGCTGCTCGAATTCATGTACGAGGGAAAGCTGGAATTCAACAGCCTCCCGGTCGAAGATGTGCTGGCTGCGGCGAGCTACCTTCACATGTATGACATTGTGAAAGTCTGCAAGGGCAAGTTGAAAGATAAAGAATTGTGTCCGGAGGAGAAGATGAGCGATGAGGTGGCTACTTTGGAGAAAGCAGAGCATTTCCTAGACGTGGGGGTGCCCCTGGTCCGCGAGTTCGACCCGGGAAACAAACAGAAATTCGGCGTCGCAGAATACGACAGAGCGGCAGGCAAAGAAAAGGTCAGCAGTCACCCCGCCTGGTCCTCCGATCATCTAAGTGTCAGCTCTGTGCCGACAGAGGCAGAATCGTGCGCCGCAGCAGCTGGAAAAACAAAGGCTAATGTCAATAGTTCTGCAGGACCTTTGTCCCAAAGGTCTGTTAACCATAGCCTGGCTCCGAGCGATGTGGACTGTGCTCTGGATTTGTCTTTCAAGCCTGTGCCTGGGAGAGATTCCTTACACCCCTCCTATGTCTTTGGACAGCTGGCTTCCGACAGCCAGCAGCAGGGTACCGAGCCACTTGTTAAAGATGAACAAGACTTGCTGTCAGATCAGGAGGACGGCGAAGCCAGGAGTCCGGAGAGTCAGCATTTTGGGAATTCAGCCAGAAGCTTAGTGACAGGGTTAGGACACATGTTCGCGGGGAATGGCAGTTCTCATGCGCGGGAGGAGGATCTAGATCAAGAGCGAGACGAGAGCGAGGACGACATGGATTCGTCGGACATCTCCTCCTCAGGTGTGCTCGTGCCGCCGGGGCATATCTGCATTTGCCCCCTCTGTAGCAAAGTGTTTCCGAGCCCGCACATCCTGCAGCTGCACCTGAGCTCCCACTTCCGAGATAAGGACGGCTCACGGACCAGGCTGTCGCCGGACGGGTCGGTGCCCACTTGCACGCTCTGCGGAAAGACATTTTCTTGCATGTATACCTTAAAGAGACACGAAAGGACCCACTCGGGCGAGAAGCCCTATACGTGCGGCCAGTGCGGAAAGAGCTTCCAGTATTCCCACAATCTGAGCCGTCACGCGGTCGTGCACACCAGGGAGAAGCCCCATGGGTGCAAGTGGTGTGAGAGACGGTTTACGCAGTCGGGGGATTTGTACAGACATATCCGCAAATTTCATTGTGGCCTTGTAAAGTCCTTGGTTGTCTGAGACGCATTCTTATTACCTTGTCTCTTATTCTTAATTTTTTTTCCCCTCTCACCCCTTTTAAAACAAAACAGGAAAAAAAAATGCAGCATCTCTTTCCCCCCCCCCCCTTCTTTTTTCCTTCATTTATTTTGGTGATATTCACTTCAGGTATATGATCTTTAAAAGATGCAGAGGTATACACTCCAGAGGCCTTTTAATGCAATCCGTCGACCTCTCCATCTCCCCCACCTTTTCCCTGCCGCCTTCCCTTTCCCAGCCCTGTCCTTTAGGTCTTTTCATGTGCACTCGTGTTACATTATTAATGTGAAATGATCTAAGTAATTCTGCAATGATTTAGCTTCTGTTTTCATGCTGGAAGTACTTGCTTTGTGGTCAGGGTTTTTTTTTCCTGTTTGTTCTTTTTGTTTTGTTTTTGGTAGTTTGAAAAAAGATTGATTGCAAGTGAATCCTGGAGAAATACTTGGGTTCTGTTAAGCCCCCCTAGTGCCATCTGCATGTTGCATACAAACATTCAAAGAGATGAACTATGATTTAAATACATTTCAGTGTAGAAAAACTTGTCTGTGTATCCCAGAGTAACAGGCTGTACTCTTATTTTACAGAACTAGAAGAGACCTTAAATTGGCCCGAATCACAAAGGCAGTTGAGAATTCCTGGATATGTCTTGGGTACTGGTATTTTAAAAAAAAAAAAAATTATTATATTGGAATAGTTTACAGTCAGTCCTAAAATCTGAATGAAAGGTTTTTTGCCTAAAGACGAGTTTTCCGTCTGAGTGTACTTAAATTTTTCCTCTCCCACCCATCCTCCTCCTTGGACTAACCTACTGAAAAGCTCTGAACGGCTTTTGAGCTTCAAGCGCGGATAGAAAAAATATTTCTGTCTGCAGCGTGTTCCCTCCTTAAATGTTGAGGGACGTGTGCTAGTATGTAGGACAAAAATCATATGATCTGTGAATATTTTCATTCCCACGCCAACATGCGAAGACTAATCCCGTTTGCCTTGGAAAAATTGCTTTAGTGAGTCAACGTATGATGGGGTGTGAGACGGGCTCCGGAGCGTGCGACGCTTGGAAAGGGGATGTACCAAAAGTGCAGATGCCGCTGAAGGAAGCGGATGGGATGCACAGCTGCGTAGGAACTGATCCGGTTCCTTCCGAGGAAACGGGTCAGCATTGTGATAAGTGGTTAATCGATTTATTTTCTTGATATCGGGCTACTGGGATTTCCGAGTTCAAGGTAATTGATACCGAGTAGGTTGGGAGATGCACTGCTGTCTCCTTGGAGAAGTTTGCTGCTTTTTCGAAAATGAGCAGCCTGGAATTCTCTCTCTCTCTCTCTCTCTGGTTTTGAAGTTGGTGATCCCTCTGGGCCAAATTCTGTGCCCTCCCCTTCATTTCGAAGGGGTTGTGTGAGGATAAACCGATTGGGGAAAATTTGGCCTGACTAACTTTCTCCTGCCAAGTTACTTACCAACCATTTTCAGACCTCTTTTTTTTTCCTTTCTCTCTCTCTCTCTCTCTCTCTCTCTCTTTTCCTTCTTCTTTTTTTTTTTTAACTGAGGCTGCCTGCAGTTATAGCTAGTTTCATCCCAAATGCAGTAACTCAGTTACCTGCCTAGTAGAGCATCTTTTGGTTTGCGCATGGCAGTGAATATCAGACTCTTCCTTTCCAGTTGGATTATCTATTTAAGGTACATGTACACAAGGCTGAATTACAATAATAATAGCTGAGGGTTTTAGATGATGTTGTGCTGCGCTAGCACTAGCGTTACTTCACTAGCTTTCCTGACACTCCTGGAATTGTTTCTCAAAACATATGCCTTTATTTTATTTTTCTTTAAATGAATGTAAAACACTAAGTTAAATTCTTTTTCAGTTGTGCTTAAAATACTGCATTTCATCTTAAGAAAGAGTTGTCCAATGCCTTCCCCCTCTGGTCCAAAAACTGAGCACTACCTACATAGATAATATAGACTTTTTTTTTTTAAGTACTACTACTTCTTAAAAAAAAAAAAAATCAGGATATACTTGTTACAGCCTCCTCTTATTATTCATCTCTTAAACTATGAATGTACATGTAATGTGAATTTTTATTTATAGTTTTTTTAGTTTAATTTCTCTACTGTAAAATATTTTTGCTGAACCTGTTACATATGAAAGTTGTGGGAGAGTACTGTATCTTGAACATAAGTGGCTTTGGTACTGTGGTCTTATTCTACTTAATCACTTTTTTTCCTCTTTCTTTTTGCTGTGATTGGAAATAGCACTGAACAAAATCTACTAAAATTAAGTTATTTTTCTTTCTACTAAAATTAAGTTATTTTTTTCTCCTGAAGATACTTGATATAGTATTTATTAGATTTTTTTTTGAAGTGGAATTATTACTGTTAATCTATTTCAAAACTAGTTAATTTACACTTCACTTTAAATTTTATAGCAATGGTTTTGCATGTTGTTCAACATGTAAACAGTTTAATGTAGAGTCAGGCATTACTGAAGCTGGTAATATTTTAATTTTGCTTTCTTGTGACACTTTCTTTTGCATTTCAGTCTTCAGTTACTTTTTTTTAAGAAGATCATAAAATAGGATGTGCCGTAAGACATCATTAGTGTATGGAGCAAGGAGAAGTTTAAACAAGTTTGTGTCTGATACTAGTATAGAAATAATTCATTAAACTGATGCTATGAGCATGCTCTGTACTGCAGTGAATATGGGGCAAAAGTTCAAAGTTTTTTTTATTCTTTGCTACATCATAAAAACACTGTTCTCTTTTCATAGTCTGGTATTTGTGTTCCCACTCCTCATAGCTTGAATTTCTAAAGTAAAGATGTTTGCACTTATTTTTGTTCTTAAGGTGACTTTTTTTGGCTATCTCTCTGTGTCTCTTTATTTTTAAGTTGCAATAGCTCTGAGCGTGTCTTCAAAATGGTTCATGACTCTACAGAGAAGTACTAAAAACATTGCACACTTAAGCTTGTCTTTTCATAAACTATTTCACTGTGGGGCAGTTACTGTCTCTGTAGGGGATAGTCCTGCTCTGCATTTTAAACACTGGATTTGTCTTCTACTACAAACAAATACTGTGAAGTTAATGTAAAAAAAAAAAAAATCATTGATATTTTTCATTGTTTTTAATCTTGGTGCAGTTCAGATTAAATATGTATATTTAAAGACACTAATTTTTGTGGGAGAGTTTTATAGTATACAGTATGTAGAAAAGCTATTGGAATGGAATATATTTTATAAAAATGTTCTATCACTGTTTTATAGTGAACTATTTTTTTCCTTCAGTGTTAGCGTAATACTGTTAGTCTAGATATGACAATCGCAGAAAGAGTGATTTAAGGTATTGTTAGCGCTTAGTTTTGCGTGGAGTTCTGTTTGCAACTGTATTGGTATGTGCTGTAAAATGTGACAATCGTGACTAGGATTGTTGTCTTTATAAATTTACACAAAATAAAACGTGCTAGAGTTGTAAACTTGAGCCTCCTCTTCCCCGCCCTTGTCCCCCCGCGGTGCGGTGTGCAGGGATTACCCACAGGTGGTTGTGGGGGGGGGTTTCTTTTGCCTTTTTTCCCCCCCTTCTCTCTCTAAATTAGAAAAAAATAAATGCAGTCTGACATCTCTCTCTCTCTTTCAGGGCCCCTTGGAAGTGTAGACATCTGAGGAGTAACCGTATCTCAGTGCAGAAAGAGCATTTCCGTAGTCCCTGGACAGGACTTAAACTGCCCCACTTCTGTATTTTAACCGTGGTATCAGGCAGGTTTGAATGGGCTCGAGCATCTCTCCGCTGACTCGAACGAGCTTTGGCTCAGGCTTGGTATGAGCAATCCTGCTTTACGCTTGCAAACAAAAAACAAAACAAAAAACCCCACCTCATACAGAAGCGCGTGCCGGGACCGGGTCACAAGCCTCTGAGCGCTGAAGTGACTCAACGTGCGAGAATGGTCCGGCAAAGCCCCGCTGAAGCTCGGGCGACTAACTTGTGTGAACGGGGTCTTGCTAAGCGCCTCGACGTTCACCGACTCCGACCCAACTCCCGCTAGAGCCTATGCTAAAACCTCTGTTGAGTTTAGCAGGGGCTGGGATTAGGAAGGGGGACGTGCAAAGCAGTGTGCGCCAGCTGCTGCTCGGAGGGTGGAAAATAAGTGTCCTGGTGTATGGTTTTGCAGCTGTACTATGCACGCTGCATCGGCTGTAAGTATTTCTTGATTGTTGCGAGGCAAAGGATCCTGGCGGAGTCAGGATGTCTGGAAATGGTGCTGTTTTAGGCAAGGACAAATATTTAACGTTGGTGTGGAGGCATGGTTATTTTTCCCCCTCCTGCTACCACGTAGTTGCTTCATTGCGATGATCTCAAGAAGTGTATGTATGTATTGCACCCAAGCATGCTGCCTGCCTTGCAGAGCTTGTGCCTCCATCCGCTGCTGCAGGGAGGCTGGAAAGCTGCTGGAGACACGCGACGTTCCTGCAGCGTCCGGCTCCGATGCAGTGAAGTGTTGGAAACAATAATACATATATTCTTTTCTGTAGTGTGTCTCCTGTTGGAGGAGGAGGGGGGGCTCTTCTGCAGCTGCTTATCTCTGTCGCGCTCTGCTCTCACTCCCTTCTACTGTTCTGGATACATGGAAGGAGCCTCAGAGGTTCCCCAGGAGCCAGCTAAACATATCTAAATCTCAGTGCTGTGCTATGCTTGGGGGAGCTGGGGGGGGACACACACTGGAAAGCTTTCCTTCAAGGGCTCATGCACTCAGGAAGAAGTGAGCTCGAAGCTAGACCTGTGGGCTAGATGGTTTGCAAAGAGGCTATAAATAACCATTTGTAGCTTGAGGAGAGCAGCCCACATCTCCTCTGGCATGGGCATGCTGTGCCCGTTTTCTTTGTTGATAACAATTGCTAATGTGAATTCCGGCACTCCAGGTCTTGATGCCTGTTGTTTTGATAGCATAATTAAATCTTAGGAATGCAAAATATAAAAAGCTTGGAGAAGAAACCAAGCCGCTGAATGGGTACTGCAAAGGGGGGAGGGGGTGTACAGACTGAATAAGGAATGGGATCGCTCTGGGCAGGCTTTCCCGCTTGCTGGCTTACAGGTACGCTGGGGGAGCCGCTCGTCTTCACTGCGCGAGAGAGGGCGGTCAGCCACGGGCATCCGCTGTCCCAACCACATCTCGACTGGGCGGCAAGGGGTGCGGTCTTGGTCCTTCATGGTTAAGATATGTACCAGGTCCCTTAAAGTGAGAAAGGGTGAATGGTGTAAATCCAAGTGGCCTGGATTCCTGCTCCTCTCCAAAAGCCTGGTTCTCTTGGGGGCGAGCGCTGTAAAAAGTTTGTGGGTTTTTTTTTCGGCTTTGGTTTTGAAGCAGTAAGTATTTTAATGGCACTTAATGCCACTGGGTAAACCTAGTGTCCTCGGTTGGATGGCGGGGCATGGGTTTGGACTGAGCGCCTCCAAATCACGGAGGAAAACATACAGGCTCTTTTGGATGGCGCCCAGCGAGGTCCCTGGTGCTCTGGGCTCCTCCTTGTGAGACGCGTGGTGTTAACAGGCCGTGTTGTTTAAAACAGATTTTTCTTCAGGTGAAATGAGCATCCAAGTCTGTGCTGAGGGAAGTCCCCCATGGGAAGAAGCTGGGGGAAGGAGAGTTGAGGGCGTCTTTGTATCGCCAAGCGGGGCACTGTTGTCCTCCAACTTTGACTGCTTGTCAGGTTTAGATCCTGCCACCTCGAGCTACCGTTGCGGGTGAGCGTTTTTGTGTGCCTCTCTGCTGAGGAACGCACGCAGCCGAATGTGAAACAGCAGCTGTTATCTAAGGAAATCAATGGCAGGTGTGACCCAGCAAAAACAGCGTATGTAGGACAAAGCTGGGCTCAAGCAAAATGGAGTCAAGTGCACAGTGCAGTTGGCGTGTGAAAACGCCTTGTACGGGAAGGAGGAGGAATTATGAGCAGGGCTGCAAGCGACCTGCTCAAAGAACATTTTTGTCTCAAATTACTGATGTTTTGTGCTGGGGAGGACCTGGCTGGAAATGTCGCGGATTGAGCAACTTTGTGCAGAGAGGTGTCTTTCATAATAACGTGACCGAGGGATCCTGGTTTCCTACTCGCTTGTTCTAAGTGCGGACAAAGTGGGGATGAGCCGCAGCAGAGGAATGCAGAGCTCTCCCCAGACTTGCACTCTCCACGTGCGCGCTGCCGAGATCTTCTTGACTAGCTCTTTTCATCCCAATTAGAGGGGGGGGAAAAAAAAATTTGTTTAATGGGAGGAGAGAGAGCAAACAATTTGGTTATTGTTACCTTTTCCTGTTTGTTGTGCTCTTTCATACAGCTGCATGCTTCTGCACACAGCTGGCTCTTGTGCCCTTTCAAACAATCTGTCACAGAAAATAAAAGTACTTGCCAACCTGGCCGAAAAAAAAAAAAAAAAAACACACACACAAAAACCCTTAATATTCTTGGGGCTTTTATATGCATCAAAGCGACAGTCCTGCGCTATCTGAGTAAGAGGAGTTTGGCAGGGGCGAAGGCTGGCGCGGCCGCAGGCTGCCAGCCAAAGCAGTCCGCGCCGGGCGGCGCTGCCAGCGTTTCCCAGAGGCAGAGGGTCGGCCCTGGCGAGCCAGCATCCAGCCACCCACTTGAGTCGCCGCCCCGAGCTCTCCCTGCTGGGCCTTTGCGCCTTCGCCCACCCTCTTCCCGGTTTTGGTTTTAGTAACTCGTGCTGGTGTGGCAGACCGAGTCGAACGGTTTGTGAGAGTGAAACTTCTCCTCCCGGCCGCGGCGTTGTGTTCGTGCGGCGAGGTGTGCCCGCTCTCTCTTCCACCCCAGGCATCTGCTGACACGATGGTAACTTCACGGTGGGGCAGGGTCTGTGGCAGCTGACAGGGGAGTACGAGGGTTACTGGACTGACCCAAAGGAGAGTCTCGTTTAATGCTGCGTACTCTCTCCAGCTGATGCTCAGAGCTCAAAGTAAACCAGCTACAATGGAGAGGAAGGTGGGACTTGGAAGTTAAGGTTG